CAGTTCTCTAAAAATTTCGAAAAAAAAAAATGTTATGAAGAAAAATTAAATAAACAACATTTGCCTGAGAATCACATCCAGATTCGCTATCAAATTCGAAATAAAAATAGAGAACTGAAAATAGAAAAAAGTAAAAAGAGAATTGAAATTAGTGGGCGAACATGATTTGACACGGCCATCTTTGGCGATTTTTCATTTTTTTTCCCCTTAGCAAAATGACTCCAAAATTTACAGACATGTAGCCCACATCATATAGAACTCACAAAAAAACAATCAGTAAAAAGAAAGTATTTTTAGGCGTCGAAAATATTTTTTGAAACAAAAACAAAATAAAAAAAATTGAACGCCGTTCAATTTTGAGTTGGAACGCACAATTCGCGTTCAAACGCACATTTGAAAACGAACGCGCGTTTACGGCGTTCAAACGGTTACATAAAATGATTAGGGGGAGATGCCCCAGCTTAACTTAATTATCTCCCAAGGCAGACTTAGTACTATAGTTACACCATGGGTCAACTAACCTTGGATTCCAACAATGGGCATACTCAGTAATGCTAATGCCATCGTACTCAACCTAAGCCGAATCGAGCCTGCAGGGCACCATCCGGACTTCAATTCCAATCATTCGCTTACTAGTCACAGCGCATAGTCAAAGCTCTTATCGATCTCAAGCAACCCTTACTGCATCACTCAAACCTCACTCATGGAACTAACCCTCACTTCATGCCTTATCCAATACCATATACGATCAACCATCCCTCCTAACCCAGTAGAGCAGAAGCGGTCATTCTCCGCAGATTATCAACCTGCCTCGAATCAAGGCTCGATTTCTAGGGGTCTCTCAGTCTTTACAGTACTTCCAACGGTAGTCAAAATATTAGCCAAATCACTCATACAAGTCTACCGAAACTTCTCATTTGCCTATTTCTCACTTCCATACCCGGACATCGTTCCACCAGGGACAACGGTAGGCAGCCGTTATCCCCGGCAACGGCGCCCCCTGTCAAGCGCATCGGTCCGGCACCGCACGTGGCAGCGCGGGACCCTCTCGGCCGCGTCACGCAGGAGTTTGACCAATCTCGTCATAAACACACAAATGGAGCTTCCTTAGGCCGCTCCGGTCGAGTGTGCCATCCATACCTCTCGTGAGCCCCTACGACAGGATAGGGCCTACGTGAGGCACAACTTACCTCCACCTTACAGGAGTTGTCACCTCCCTTCGGTGGGCGTATCCTAGCCGAGCTACCAGTCCACAGTACGAAAGCTGATCAGTTGCAATCGCAAAGGTGGACCAGCCGATGGCGTTTCTCGTTCACTGTAGCATAGGGGGTACGCGCGGTAATACGCCTATTGGACCTGCACGCGAACCGACATCTTGGGGGGCTGAAGTCCCAACCGTGGTTCGACGTCGGTCGACTAGGACGCGTCCCACACACCACGCGCACACCACTTTACAAACACCAAAAAAATAAAACACACACACGCACACATCAAACAACGCGACAACGCTCCTAGCCCCTTAGTAATCATCCCATAACTCTCCGATGCGAAAATCGGATAGGCGTCGCGAGGGAGCCTCGATATAAACCGCGCGGACGCAGAGCTAACTCATATCGACTCGCAATGCAAACGTACGCAAACAGTCGCAAGGATGGCGTACTATGTAGTGTCCATAATCGTGCGGTCCTCGTTAGTCTCGAGGGTCGCATTCGACACTTAAGTGTCGGCTGACACGCGCCTTGAGGGTTAATCTCTCGATGCTGGAAAATCGCCATGTGAGGTTGAAGATCACACACCCTCTTCTGCACCCTGTGCAAAGTGGGTGGTACACAGGTTCATACCTGCGGTGGCAATTGCTTCTTACTGCCCTGGAGATGAGTCCCACTCCGGACCTGGGCGAAAGTCAGGGGGTTTAACTTTGACGGCTATCACGGACTACAACGTCCAACTATAAAAATCAATAAGCAAAATCAATCAATAGAATAAACAAACACCCCATCACTCATATATCAGTTCAGAACTTGAGATAACGATAAAAAGTCGGGGAAACATAAACCTATCAGGTTTGCAGATCGTGCGACATATGGTCGTCATTCTCACTGCCTCCAAAGTATGGTTCATGTACCAAGCTCCAAAATACTAACATGCATAAAACACAGGCACACACAATAACCACATTGCCATACACCAATGTGGTTAACTTTACTGTTCCCTGTAGCTCACACCACGCCTCACACACTCAAGCCCCAGTCATAGTCCAATTTTCCATAAATCTCATAAGTCCTTTATAATGGCCATTAAAAAAAGTCCAGTTAAAACCTTCAAAGAAACATATCAAGTCCCAGGGCTAAGGCAATCAAGTTGAGGTAGAGGTATAAGCAAAGTTGTGTCATGAGCCGACAAGTCGGCGATCAACCAACCGACCTATTATTAGTGATAACTGAAAATGATCCTTGTAGGATCAAACTGAAGCTAGTCAAAATCTCAGATCGAATGTCCAAAGAAGACATGTATCATACGACAGGTCAAAGTCCAAGCTAAATTTATAAGTCCATGGAGAATAATCCCCATATCCCGATCTCAATCAAATCATCCTAATTGACTAAGCCTGAATGTACCTTCAAGCTGCGCCATAAGCAAAGGTAGACCTTGGCATAATCTCCCCTCTACAGAGTGGATCGCCAAAATCGCCACCTGTCAAAATATAATCTATCTCCTTTAAACTAAGAAAATTTTGGCAGTGCTTCCCGTAGGAAAAGTGCCTTTTCAGAATTTATATCAGCCTGAATATGAGAACAGAAATAGTCTTTGATTTTCTAAAGTCCAATTTTGTCTAACTCTCTGAATTAGCAAAAATTTGGGCAGCACTCCCGTTAGAAAAGGAGGCTTTGCAGATTTTACTAAGCCATATATGAACTTTAGACAAGTTGAACTTCGAAAAATCAAGAATTGACTAACTCCCTGGCTGTGTAGCACGGCGAACGTGTTCGCGCCCCTTCATGTTCGCGCGAACGTGTTCGCGTGTTCGCGCGAACAGCTCGCGAATATGTTCGGGCGAACATAACTTTTTCTCGTAAAAAAAAATAAAAATAAATTGTTTTTCGGTTTTTTATTTTTAACTCATGATTGGTT